TGAATACCTGCTGTCCATTCATGCACACATTAATAATTTATGTTGTGAAAGTTGTGCCTGCTTTTCTTTTAATAATGTGCAGATTAATTTAGAAGGAAATGAGCTAACACATCCAGTTACTTTTTCTCTTATTCCTAAATTAATGCTTTAGTTAAATGAAAAATTGTCTTTGCGCTGAATAACTTCCATTGTTTTGGAAAGGAAGCTTCACATTTTTCCAGGCTCTGTGCACATGTACATAATGTTAACAAATTTGGCGCTTGTTGGATAAATAGTTCTGACAACAGATCCAGTAACCACATTCTTCTCACCCTTTTAACTTTTCCGTTTTTCTCATCCTATTCAGCCTTCAGGCACAGATTTTATGCCTGCAAACTTAAGCTAAATTCAAACTGAACTAGTGTGCAAGTGCTAGGTCATGAATACATTATAATATGCATATTATAACACCTGCACATTACTAATAATGATTATTAGATAATTGTGGGGAGTGTTGTTGAAGCTGTCCTTCTTTTTATTTGTTTGATTAGCAATCTGGTTCTGCATTGTTTGCAGGCTTCATCTTTATTTTATTTTCTTTTGTTTTCTTTCTGTGGTGCTTTCGGTTTACTTAGTCATGGAGGGGGACTGATGGTTGGATATCTTGATGGGCTGTGTTGGAGTGTTGTTGTTGCCATGATGTTAAAGGAAGTGTGCAAGAGGAAAGGATTTTTTGTGATATCTTTTACTGGACCAGTGTGTAGGTGAGAGAGAGATATTAGAACAAGCTTGTGGGTGCAAGGTGCCCTGAAGAAGAGCATCCAAAGCTTGTCCCACATCTTTTCCAACTATACAATTGGTTCAGTAAAAGGTATCACAGAAAAATACACTTGCCTCTTCATGATTTATTTTACATCACGTGTGTGATCCAGAGCCCATTATATTTAAGGGATTCTAGATCAGGCCTGTGCAGAATACTGAGATCCCCTACCCCACAAGCTTTGCATGTTATACTAGTAAGGGATATAAATGGTCTTTAACCACAATTAAAACTTCTGTCTTATCTGCTGGATAAGTCTGACTCTGTTCCTCTTCCATTGTCTTGTCAGGGAAGAACTTAGTCTGCTGATTACATTGTATACAAACTAGCTTTTTTGTTCTGTGCCTGATTTAAAAATTCTTTTTTGTCCTAAGGCACAAGGTATATTTGTGGGAAGTGAAAAAACTTGTTCTGTTGGCCAAGCTAAAAAAGAAGCATTTATTGGCTAAGGTTAAAAAGAAGCATATATCAAGCATGCATTATTCCTGTGGTAGAGTATGTGTGAGTTAAAATAGTGTACCATCTATTTTTTTTATGTTAAGTGTTGCAGTTATTGGTACTAAACATAATGCGTTTTCTCTGAAGCTCTTCAGGATTCCTTATTTGAGGTTTCTAGTCATTGTAATTCCATGTCTCATTTCAGTGTAAGCAATTCCCTGGGGTCAGAAAACCCGATAAGATGCAGCTGGTAGTTAGACTGTGTCACTAGTCTGCACAGAAGATATAAAATGAAACATTTCCATGTGAATAAGGCCATCTGTTTTCAACACTAGCACAGTAGTTCTCAACTTATTTCCTTCCCCCATTCACTGACCTCAAAAAAAACACCTGCAGGTTTTTTTGCTGCATCCCTACCCAATTTCAGAGTTTGTCACCCCAGTGACCACAGGATTAGGTCAAGGCAAGAAAATATGCTGTGTGCCAGAGTTTTTATAGGGCTGTTGCTGGGAGATGATGAAAGGATCAGAAATTAAGTGGATAAGCCCCAAAAAATGGGAGCTGGGTCCTAGAGAAGGGTGCTAAACTGATGTAGCCATAAAGATGGCTGTCAGGCATATTCTCCTTTCCTCCAAAAGCACTTGGCTCCTGTTTGGGGAGGCCATAGAGCAGTGAATCTCAGCCAAGGTGCTGCAGTACCCTGGGGTGCCATGACAGCCTTTGAAGGGTACCACCTAGAAGAGGAGATAAACAAGGTAAGTGCAGGCTCTAGTGAGGAGTAAATGTAGGCTCTTTCCTTCCAGAAGGTGACAGGGTAGAAATGCACCTTACAGACTAATTAAATCAGAGATTCATAACATTTCATGAGCCTGAGCTTACTACATCAGATGCGGTGAAATGACATGCACAGAGAAGTCTTATCAAAGAGAGAGTGATTTGACCATAAAAGAGAGGGGAGGGAGGGAAAGAAGAGGGGGGCAGTCTTGGGAGAGGCAAAGTAATACACCCATACAGACAAAGGGGTCATAAAAAACATTTCCAGCTATTGGGATAAAAATCTGTAGTCCCATAAAATCCATAGTCCCATAATCAAGACCATACTTAATAAAAACAATGCAGTCTGCAAATGATTTCTTGTTTCACTATTGTGCATTCAAGTTGGTTTTTAAAGTTTTTTTTTTTTTTGTTTTAGAACAGCTCCTCTGAGGTCAGCAATAGACTATCCAGCGAGGTTAAACCATTCTGCCAGAGACTTGTGTGTCTTTCTGCAACTGCTGTCCGATCAGTGTTCATTCATTCATTTATCCCTGTATAGATTGCCCTGACTGTCCAATGTAGACAGCAGAGGGGAATCATAAGCACATATATATCAGGAGTGGCCAACCTGCAGTACAGTTACTACAAGTGGCAAGGGCAACCTTAGTATGTGATAGATCGGGGAGGAAGCACAGCAGCAGATAGGGCAGGGAGCAGAAGGCAGAACAGCAAGTTGGGCAGCGGAAGGGAATTGGAGTGACCCATAAGGAAGGTGCAGGGCTAATTTGTGGCATGCCTGCCAAAAAGGTTGGCCCTCACTGACATATATGACATTGGTAGAAGTGCAGGTGAATGAACTTTGGATATTTATAACCCTTGTTGTTTGGTCTAGTGATGTGGTCTGTATTAATGAAGAGACGCAGCTTGCATCTGTAAGCCTTGCAAGGCCTAGTGCTGCTGCCACCTCCTCCTCCTCCTCCTTCACCACTACCTCTACTCCTTTCTCCCCACCCCTCACTGCAGTGCAGGCTCATCCCTGCTGGCTGCTCTTCCTCCTTCCCAGTCCCTCCAAGTAGGTAAGCCAGCCATATAATAAATCATTTAGTTCCTGGAATAGGGTGCTACTCAAGTCCATAGGAGTTATGGAGGGGTGCCTGCTCCAGGACCATCGGGGAGGCCTAAGTGCCCTGGCCCTGGTGGCTGCTTCTGGGATGTCACTGCCTCTGCCCGACACTGCCCTGGACCAGCAGGCCTGAGCCACAGCTGGTAGCGCTGGGAGACGTGGGTGGCGAGGGATACACCCTCTTCATCCTTTTTTCTCTTTTCTTTCTCTTTCCCTTTCTCTTTTTTCTTTTCTTTGCTTCTCTCTCCTCTTTTTATTTTTCTCTCCTTTTTTTTCTTTTCTCTCCTTTTTTCTCTCCCCTCTTTTTGTCTCTTTCTATCCTCTCTTTTTCTCGTCTCCTCTTTTCTCTCCTTTTTCTTTTCTCTTCTTTGTTTTTTCTTTATTCTTTCTTTCCCTCTTTCTTTTTCTCCTCTTCTTTCTCTTCTTTTTTCTCTCTCCTTTTTTCTGTCGTCTTTTTCTCCACCTCTTTTTTCTGTCTCTTCTTCTCCTCTTTCTCTTTTTTTGTCTCTCATCACAACATGCTTAACCAAAAAAAATACACCAGAACAAAGGTTACTGTAAAAACAAACAAACAAAAAAACAACATTTATTATTAGCTATATTAATATGCAGTGCGTCCTGCCATGTAACCCCTGCCCTGGTTTTGTTTTTCTGGCATGCCAGCGCTCTGGCACCTTGCAAGGTAGACATTGCATTTTTTTCAGCACTCTGGCCAAAAACATTGCCTACCCCTGCTTTAGCTCATGTTTTATATACAGCTGTTCAAGGAAGGTATACCAGCATTTCAGTGGTCTTAAAGATCCCTGAAATTTTGTTTGTAAGTGGTGGAAAACGTATCTAGCTAATGGTATTTCTCATCAGTAAAATCCTGGCCCCAATGAAGCCAAAACTCCTACTTTAACAGGGCCATGATTTTCCTCCATTTTTTTGAGAGGACTAATAAATATGATACTCTCTCCAGTCAGGAGTTTATTTTAACACAGAAGATGTACCAATTCTTGGTTGAGACAGTGGAGACTTTCTCAAGTAAGCTAATATTTTGAGTGTAAAATGTTTTTTATAATAAAAAAATCTGATAGCTCCAGGGTTCTCAGTTACTTATAGTAAACTGACATATATAAACAAATTGCTGTAAATGGGAGACTAGATGTGCAGTAGTCTTGTGAGACTACATTTTGCTCCAGTAGATTTTTTTTTTAATGTCCCTAAGCAATATTTTTGCTATAATGAATTCAAGATGTGCCTGTTTTCATAAACAACTCAGTTAAAAAATATTCTATCATCCTTTTGTCAGCTGGTATAATATTATCCCATACAGAAAATGGTATTAGCTGTAACCTTGACATGAAATTACTTAATACTCTGAAAGACTTGTTAAATACTAAATATTAGTAGTTGGTATATAATGGGTGCATCTACACATGGGCTTTAATGTGTACTAGCCTATTTTAATACACATTAAGTGTCACAAAGTGCTGTTTTGCTAATGTGCATTAAAATAGGCCAATGTGCCTTTTTCTAGTACCTCACTATGGAGTTGATAAGTTTAACGTGCATTAGTAAAAGCGCGTTAATTAACATGTAGACATGCCCCTTAATACTAATAATTATCTTGTGCCTTTCTTGTATATAGTGTCTGCACTGACTGTTTTATTTAAGTCTGTATTTTAAATGCGACTTCCATATAAGCATACACAAGGGATGAGAACGTAAAGTTCTAGTATCAAACTGAAAGGGCTTAAGGATATCCCATGAGGTTGAGTTAAATTTAAGCCACATAGTATCATCCTGACTTCTGTAATAGGAAACACTGCAAAGAAATGCTGTTGTTGCTTGAAAGCCAGCCTCTAACAGGAGTTTTCTATCATCTTTGTGCTGTAACAGGATTTCCGAGACGCAGTGGCACATGCCTCCAGGCAACTTGGAAAACCAGTAATTGAGGACAGGATCCTGAATCAGATCCTTTACTACCTACCTCAGCTGTATGAACTCAATCGGGATCTTTTAAGAGAATTGGAAGAGAGACTGTCTCACTGGTAACTATTAATGAGGAATGCAATATTCTTTAATATTTATGGGAGATAAGCAAATCTTAGCAGTCACGAATGTTTTGTATTTTATATGACTTTTTTGACTGCAGAGCTGATTTTTGAATGGAGGCAATGTGTATTAAAAGGTTTATTTGGTACTTGGGGGTATTACATGCGCATACATGCATGCATTTCCCTGCTTGTATAACCACATTACGGACTAAAGCTAAAATTTCAAAAATAGGAGCCTAAAATTAGGCCCATGGATCTGTATTTAGCATCCTTCCCCCCTCTCCCCACAAAAAAGTCTGTTTTAAGTGCCAAGTGCCCAAACTTCATTGACCTTCATTGAGTGAAATTTTAGCAACCTAACTAAGTTCTTTATAGATGTATATTCCCTTGAAAATTCTGTTCCTTTTTTACTCTTTAAAGCAAGGCATCAATCCATTAATACTTCTCTCATTTAAAAAATAAAAGCAGCAAAGAACTTGGCAACAAAAATGATATGCATATGTAACTTACCCCAGGGCTGTCCAGTTGGCTGCCTGCAGGCCATATGTGACCCATGAGCAATTAATCTGTGGCCCCTGAGCTCCCACCTGGCCCATGAGATAAGCAGTTTATTCCAGCTCTGCAACAAATCCAATATTGAGCTAGTATGGTTAGGTCTACATTGCAGTAACTATAACCCATTAAGACTCATCTGATTCAGCCTTAAGCTGTATCGCTTGGGTATAGATAATAGAGCTATGGTGTTTGGCGTGGACTGTAAAATCTGCCTAAGAACCCAGCAAATGCTTGGTTTGCCTGAGCTGAGCTCCACGTTGCTGTGGCTGTATTTTTAGCAGTGATTGAATCCCTTCCAGTTCCAATAGGAGGACTCTGTCTTTGGCTGTTTATATACATTCAAATAATTTGGGAGAATTTTCCCAGGTTTGTTCTCCTAGTAGAAAAACTTACCCACAGCTGCATGTACAGACAGTCAAATGCTGCGGCCCTGAAGAGCGGAGAGCGTGCAGTGCTGCCGCTGTCCTGTGAAGTGGGGTGGGGGGTGTGGAGTGTGGCAGGCCTATTGTACACATCTCAGCTCACTCTGCAGATTCCCTTTGCCTGCCTAAGCGATGGATGGTAGCAGTGCATAGGACAGCCCTGATTGGCTGACCCAGACTGCCCATGGTCAGCCTGTCTATCCCTGCAGCATGATGTGGGGATTATGAAGGAGGTGCTCTGCTCCCTATGAGTGATACACTGTTTCCTAGGGTGTGATGTTGGAGGACTGTATTCTCTGCTGAAAGAAGCCACAGCATGTACATTTGCTACCCTAAAATAAACTGTCCTGGGAGTGATTTAAACCTTACTTGTTCCTAGGTTATTTTTCTCTTGGAGTTGTTTTTTCCTCTGGGAGAAAGCTTGAACATCTGAATTCTCATTGTTTCTCCTGGGAGAGCAGTGACTCCCAGGAGAAACTGAATATTCGGTCTTTGGCATCTTGCATATTGACACCATCACTCCCATGGGAACAGTCATGAAACCAAACACTTTCAGTCTGAGACCCTTTTCTTTGACAGTAACTACCTCCTTGGCACCAGTGGAGTCTTTGCTTCTAAGCTCTGCTCCAAAAAAAGTATGAACTAGGATCTTGGTCTCATACATTCCTTTCCACTGATACAAATGAGAAAATTGAGGCAAGCCTACAGGCCAGACCTTCATGATTTTTAAGGGTACTGGGTTACATAAAGATGTAAATAAAAGTCCTTGGTGGATTTTCTTAAGGGCTTTGGCACTAACTATGATTTGAATAGATTCAACTTAGTGTTTAGGCACTCTTAAAAATCCCATGAGGCACCTGTAAGAGTTAGGCCTCATTTTAAGCATCCTTAAAGCATAAGGAACCTTAACTACATTTTAAAAATCTGATCCCAGACACATACTTTCTAGTTCTGCTTATGGTACTGCCACTTCTTCCCCACTCTAGCAATTGCAGTGTGGGTACAGCTTCTGCCAGTGGGAAGCTTGCACTGGGGCCAGGCAGCTTCCACTTGGGCTTGTGCCACAGCCAGAGATGGGAAGAAGCATGGCAGTGTGGACTCAGTTTGCAGATGCTGGGTCCCAGTGTAGCTCCACATGAGCTAGAAGCTGGACTCATGTATCGAGGGAGCAGGGGGCTGGTAGAAGTGGCGGCAGTGTAGGCACACCTCCCAGTTGCCTGGCCTTGTCCGTGGCACAGGGAAAGCCTTCTTACTGCTCATGTGCCACTGAAGCCACGTGGACCATGTTGGACCAACACTGGGGTGTACTAGCCTGCAGTGTGTGAAAGGTTGCCAGCCCCTGCTGTAGGTGACACAGGAAGACTGCCAGGAAAGGTCCTTAAACATTGGGTCATTTTGCCCCTCGGGTCATTAATCACAGTAGATTAAAGTGAGATATTAATGTTTTGCTGTAAATAAGGCTTTGAGGAAAAATCTATTTGTAGTGTTTTCATTGCTCAGTTTTTATTTCTAGGATTGCTCATCAGAGAATTGCTGATATATTTGTGAAAAAAGGACCCTACTTGAAAATGTATTCAACTTACATCAAAGAATTTGATAAGAACATTGCATTGCTAGATGAACAATGCAAGAGGAACCCTAGTTTTGCTGCTGCTGTTAAAGATTTTGAGGTATCTTTTAATCTGTTCTTGTGGCTGTTTAGTCCTGGTGACCTTTTGTAAGACTGCAAGGATTATCTTTTGACTTGGTATTTCTTCTTTGTTTCTAGGTTCCAGTTGAGAATGAGTGGTGGGAGGGGGAGCTGGAATGTATTTAAGTATTGGATCTAGTTTTCCAAGAACAGCTAGTGATTTTGCATGCCCAGGTTGAGATGCAGTAAAGGATCTTGGTTTTTCAGAAGACTCAACTGTTGCTAAAAAAAAAAAAAAAAAAAAAGAGGGGAAAAAA